CATTCAACAACATCTCTATCATCACACGGTAGTAATTCATCACTTTCGTCCTTAGTTTTGTCTATACCTCGATTTTCAATAAATTCAAGCAATGATTTAGTAACAAATGATAATCAATCATTAACAAGTATAAATCAAAAACGACATTCAATAGAACATGCATCATCATGTAAAATATGTCATAAACCTAATTTAACAAATCCATATAATACATGTTCTCAATTACGTGATAGTCAAATAGTAACACGATCGGAATCATTACCAACTAATCCAACTCATGAAAATACCGATGATCAACGAGAAAGATCACAATCATTTAATGTTGAAGATACACAGAAAGAATATAAAAAATTAGCAGCTATGAAAAAAAATAAAAAACAATTAAAACGTCAATGTATTATGCGTTTAGCTAATTTATATCAACGATCTGAACATTCTACAGAATCACTTCCATATGGATCTTGTTCATCTACACTACCAGGTGTATCTCAAGTTCCTACTCAATCAAAACATTCTATAGAAACGAAATCACGTTCACCACCACCTCCTGTTCCATCTCAAGTTGTACATCTTACACCAGAACGTATTAATTATTATAAACAACGACAAATTGAATTAGATCGTAGTGTTAAAAAGCTACTCGGAAGTTTTACAATGAAAACAAATGAAAATATAAATCAAATAAAAAAATATTGGTCTTATTTAAAAAAAATATCTTTAGATAAAATTCAACCAAAAGCAACAGAAAATTTTTCATTATTTCATTATTTGTCAAATTTATCTCATACAGATAAACAATTTGAATCTTATCTTGAAGAACATGATGAAATTCAAGCTGCATTACATATTCTAATAAGAATATTAACTATTGTTAATGAAAAATATTCATTTTCAACAATTAATCATCTATTTGATTATGTCGGAAAATTGATGTTAAAAAAATTAACGACACAATTGGAACATTTAATTTCACATTATAATGATGAAATATTATTTATTCATGAACGTATTCATTTTTATCAAACTCCTATAGATGGGAAAAAAAATTTCGATTGGGTACAATGTATTAAAGTTGATTATCCAATGTTAATAGAAAATATTGCAGATGATTTTATTTTAAAAGTTCCTAAAACTGATCAAATTCTTCTTGATATGCTTAAAACTATGAAAAAACATTTGCTTTATTTTAATATAGAAAATAAATGACTGATTTTTAAAAACAAAACATCAACTTACTTTTCGATAAAGATCAGTTTCAATTTGTTCTTTTATATCAACTGTTCGTTTAACTGTTTCAAGAGCTTTATGTAATTGACCATCAATACGTTGAATTTCAGTTCGCTTTTGTTCATCTGCTGATCGTAAAATTTCCATTTCATTAATAGTATAATCCATTATTTTAGATAAAACCTAAAAGTTATCAAAGAAAAAATATTTCGAAAGAAAACGAAAGGATAAATTACCTCATCATTAGGTCGTTCTTGAAGTTCAATACTACCAATGATTTTCAATGAACTCAATGCTTCAATTTTTTGTTTCCAAATAAACTAAAAACAAATTTAAATCAAACTTTCGTTGTCTATGAAACAGGCATTCACACTGTTACATACTTCAAGACGATTTTTGTCAAGTTTTTTGCAAGTAAATACATAAGTTTTTCCATCGACGTTTGTATTATTTCCTTTTGAAAAAGCACGTTGTGTATGTGAATAAAATGAGTCATTTGATTCTGATGGAAATTTCTTTGCTAAAATTCGAACATGTTCTTGATCAACTAAAATACTTCATATATATATATGAGTAATAATTCAAACAAAACACTTACGAACTCCTACCCAACTAGATTTAAAATTAGTTAAATGTATTAAAATTGTATGATTTTGTTCATCAATTGTACTTTTCATATAATATTTTTCATTACTATCATCAGTTATTTTGATAAAATAAATAAATTCATCATTTGTCATATATGCCATTTTCGATAATCTAAAATAATCAGAATATGATTATTTATGTGCTCATTATTAGGAAATTTCATAAAAATTGTAAGAAGGAAGAAATATGTAAACTTCTAATGATTCGTCATATTGTATCGTCAATTAAATCACCTGTACAGATGTCGCATAAAAACATAACCGAAATTTAATTGATTGATAATTGCGTATGAAATTATGAATATGAAAAATATTTACTTCGACGTTTTCATTTATTAGTAATATATTTTTGATACGTGTACGGAAGTGAAATACAATATATGGAGTCTCTTCTTAATATGGAACGTTTAAAAAATATAACACATTCTGTTGTTAATTCAAGTTTTGAAAATCAAACTTTAAATGCTGGAATTAACAAAGCTCAAAATTGGTGGAAAAATCATCAAAATCATAATATATCATTACCAATCGTTCAAGATATATCACCCTCATCTTCAAGAGTTGATCATCATTCTGGACAACTTATAGTAACTATACTTTGTGCAGAAGATTTATATGAATCACGATTATCAATGTTTACTGCATCAACACCGGTATTGGAACGTCCCTATGTTATTATTGAATGTAATCATCAACGTTTTCAAACAAAACAAGCTGATTCTATTTCAACAAATCAAAATCCACAATGGACAGACGATAATGGACCATTTTATTTCGATAGAATCAATCCAGATATTGATCATTTAACTATTTGGATTCAACAAAAAGATACTCTTCATATTAGAAAACATAAACAAACAAAAACATTAGGAATGTGTGAGGTCGATATTCGGAATTTAATTGATCAAGAACAAATTTGGTTACCATTAAAAAAAGATAATAAACCAGTTGGACAAATCCTATTACAAATTGCCTATATTTCAAAAGAAAAATAAATGATTTATAAAAGCATTTTTGTTTGCTTTCAATTCAACAGAACAATATTTATATTGAATTCATCATATGCGTGTTAACATCCTTTCTTATTACGAACCGTCTATATTTTACATATATTATTTTCATTGAATAACTCTTATATATTGAAAACTTTTCATAACTAATATTAATATATATATATATATAATATAGGTCTCCTTATATAAAGTTTATATTTTGTTTTTTTATTATTAAGTTGTCATAAAATATCTCTTCTCTTCAATTTTTGAACAGTTCTCAAATTTTATTAACTAAAAATATTCCAATAGAACTTTATAAAACACACAACCTTTTTTTCAAATAATTTTTATTTCAATTCAGTTCAAATTATAAAATATTTTCTTTTATTATATTCTCTAAAATTCGACAAAAACTAACAAAAGACAAAGAATTTAACATTTATTTATTGAAATTTTAAATCAAAATTATCAAACGATATTCAATTTTGAAGAAAAAAACACATTTTTCATTGCTGTTTTCTTATCAATAAATGTCTTTTTCTTCAAATTTTATTAGACTTTTTCTTTTAGACTTATTTCTCCATTTTTTATTTAATAGAATATTTCTTTTCTTTTCTTCAAAATCAAAATTTCATTCACAAAATTAATTCATATTTTTCAATTCGATGATTAAAGTAATCAGCAACATAAAGATTTTCTTCATCATCAAAAGATAAATCCATGGGACCATTCAATTGATTTGATTGATTTCCTTCACCATTTCCACCAACAACAATTTCACCTTCTTCTTTTCCTTCACACCAACGCGTTACTCGATCATTCCCAACATCTGTCACATAGATTTGACCCAAATCATCTACAAACATTCCTGTAGGTAAAGACAATTGATTGAGATTCCCTCCTTTACCATTTCCTCCAGCCACAACTATTCCTTCTTCTGCGCCTTTTCTCCATTTCATCACACGATCATTGTCTCTATCTGTTACATAAATAGACTGATCTCCATCAACAAAGATATAAGTAGGATTATTAAGTTGATTAAGTTGATTTCCATTCCCATTTCCACCGGCCACTACAATTCCGTCATTGTTGTATTCACCCATTTTCCATCGTCTCACTTCATTCTTCTTATAATCATTAACATAAAGAAATCCATGTTTATCCATTGCCAAACGAGAACAGTCAATATTGTGAATGAGAATTTGTTGGTTTTGGTTCAACCATTGAATTACTCGTCTGTTCCCAAAATCAGCAATGATGGTCGAACGACTTTGCTGATCAACAATCACATCCGTTGGTCGATCCAGTTGATCCATTCGATGTCCTTGCCCATTTGCACCTGCAATGATTTGTCCTTCTTTTGCATTATGTTTCCATTCAACAATACGATGGTTATAATGATCAGCAATGAAAATATTTTTCTTTGTATCAATAAAGACTCCAAGAGGGCCATTAAGTTGATTTAATTGTTGTCCTTCTCCATTTCCACCAGCTACAGTGATGGCATTTTGTTTCCATTTGTCCCATTTTGGTTCTAGAAAAGGATGAAAATAAAAGATTTTGATGAAAAGAAGAAAAGTTGTTTTTTTTTGTTAAAGTTGAATTTTGTATAGAATTTTATTAATAAAACAAATCATTCGAAGTTTTGTATTTTTGAATATGATTTAGAAAAATCAAATGAAGAAAATTTTGTTTTCAAAAGAAAAAAGAATTAATTGAAATTCATTATTTTTCGGATCGAAATTGAGAAGAGAAAGAATATTTTATTGAAAGATAGTTTATTGGGGAAACAAATCGATAAATATTTAATTTGAAAAGAAATGAAATTGAAAAAGAGAAAAGATTTTATTGATTTATTTTTTGTTACATAAAAATTTCAAAAAAATAACTCAATTTTATTTTTATCAATCAAACATATTTTGTGAATCTTTGAAGAAGATTTTTTATGTAAATTAATATCATTTCATATTGTTTTTCATTCTTTTTCACATAGAAATACTTTTATTTTTGTATTTCTATTAATTCTGTTATTATTGATTAAATAAATCAATAGTATTCTCAATTGTTTTCATCGTCGTCATCGTCACTTTTATTTTTTTATAGTTATTTAGCATAAATACTGAGAAAATGAGAACTATTCTTCTGGAAATTTATTTTTAATAACTTACTTTTTAATAAAATAACTGAAATATCATTAATTAATGATTGTGAATCTTGTTGAATTGAAATCTTTGATGGATTATTTAATTCTTGTGCAATTTTCATCAACTGATTTCTTAAATAATTTAAATTAATTTCATTAAATTCGTTTTCTTTTTGAAACTGTTTTATTTGTTCACTTAAATCATTAAGTTTCATTTCAATATCATTAATACATGTTTGCGATGATTCAATGATAATTTCTCTGTATTCTTGTGCCTTTTGTTGAATTATTTCAATCGATTTTATTTCCCATTGATCAATTTGTTTGATTAGTGAATCATTTTGTGGATTTTGTTTTTGTTCATCCATTGTTTGTTTAAATTCATTATATTCATTGATGATAAGATGTAATTCATTATTTAATATTTGACGATGTTCTGTTAAATCCATTAAACAAAACTCTTTTAAACATCCTTTACAAGGATATGTAATTTTTTCTTCATTACATATAAAACATAATGTTTTGTTGTTTGCCATTGCGACTCGTTTGAATAAGGTTGATAGAAGAAATGAATATATCCTTATCTGCTTTTATAAATATATACTTATAATGACTCAATGATAACAAAATCATTATTCGGTAGTAGAAGAAATGGAAAAAAGAATTTTATTGTGACAATGTAATTACTAATGCCGAGAAAATTCCACTGATAAAACTGATGTGATATCTAACATAGTTGGACTAAAACTAGAAACTAATTTGTTTCTAATTCTGAATAAATATTCAAATAATTCTTGTGATATTTTAATGTACATCTGAATGTAATTAAAGATTAAACATAGATCTACATCTACACAACTTTATCTACCAGATGAATGGTATATCAATCGTTCATTCACTCAACTATATTATCATGTTCACTTTCATCACCATAATCATCACTTTCGTTGTCAAAATAGTTATGTGTGATATTCTTTTTCATTCATTTTTCATATTATTTCAAAAAGCAAGCTTACATACATGAAAATATTTCAAAGAATTAAATTTTTGATATTTTGTAATTATTTCGACATAAAAAAGAATTCCATAAATGTCTCACTTCGAATTTCTTCGTCATCAAATAAAGTTTTCAACAAAAGAAAATCTATCGAAAATAAAAACATTGTTATATATAATGATTTAATTGAAAAAGAAATACGATATCGAAATAAATAAAGAAACTAGGTATGGCCAGATTTTATCATAAAAACGAAAGTATTATATATAATCAGATATTTCAAACCATCTTGAGGGTGGTTGTGGGTGTGGGTAGAATAAAATTAAAAACGCTGACACCCATCCTACATCCACACCCATGTTTTATCCAAGAAAACCAGTTAGAATGTAATGTTGATGTACCTCTTTGGTATAATGAAAAATAAAAATACAGCATAAAAATAAACTTATCGAAGTTCTAATTCTCTTTATAGTCAAAATGGTACGTCGTGCAAATTTTGATTGCACTGACTCGTACACGAACCAAATGCATAAAGAACAAACAAATTTTTTTCTTTATTATTAAAAGGCCATTTTGTAACTGAATTGATCAAGTGAGAAAAAGAATATTTTATTCATCCACTAAGTCATTTTATTTTAAAAAAATAAGGAGAAGAAAGAGAATGATCGAAGTGAATCCTCCTTACTTCTTGTCAAAGAGGAGAAAAATAAAGAAGATGCTGTGATACATCTTCTTTCTAATTGTGCAAGAAGTAAACAAAAATGTAGAATAAAATAAGAAAAAGAAAGATGTGGATGAACAACGTGATGGTTATGTGGGAAATAGAAAAAGATCAAAAATGTTAGTTTAACAACAGCAAACCTTGGCACATGATCTTTTGACAGTGACAGTTTTCTTTCTGATGACTTTGCAACATGGTTTGCAACAGCACACAGTTTTAGTTACACAACATTTTGGACCGCAGCAGCATGAACCACAACATGGATCACAGCAAGAGCAACAACAAGGATCACAACAGCATGGATCACAGCATGAACTACAGCATGAACCACAACCGCAGCCACAGCCGCAGCCACAACCGCAACCACATCCACAACCGCATCCACAACCACAGCCTGGCATATTAATAGTAATAATGTAGTGAAGAGTAAAACTGAAGTAAGATGAGAACTGATTTGTGAAACTATGAGAATAGGTGTGTGTATATATATAGAGGTAGAGAAACGAACAAAATTGTTTTCAGTCAACAACAACAACAATTCACTACTGTCCTCACATGACAATATTTAATATGTAAATGTCATAGAAAAATACATGAAGAGACATATGTAACTCTTTGTTACTATTCATGCAATAGAACACAAATATGAAATTCACACTTATTATCAATGTCTTTCCTTTGATTTGTTTTGATAGTATATACAAAACATCTAAATTTAATTTCACATTCACCTTGTGACCACAACTCTCAAAGGGTAAATGTCATTTGATACACTTTTTTTTATGAAAAACAGTGCTAATCGAAAAAAACAAACTAAATTTTTTTGATGAAAAATATTGATACTCACGTTCTAGTACACACATACTGTAATATCATGAAATTACGTAAATATTATACTAATACCACACCCTCACTCACAACCGCTCAACCACACCCATCCTTTTTTTGCATGAGAAAACATCACTGATTTCTTGTAAGTTGAATAGATTATATTTTAATGAATGAATAAATGAAAAAAAGGCGCAAAACGTCTTGTCTTTTTCTCATTCTCAGGTAAACTGCCGAAGCTCAAAGGCCGCGAGCATGTGTAACGGGTAAAACTCGAAAAATGCGCTTGGTGTGATAGTTGACACAGCGATGATCACGTGCTAGTACGCATCCAGGACCGTTTGAATCATAGATCTTGTCCCGATGTAGCAATATAAAATGTGATTGAGTAACAAAGCCAGTTTCATCTGGATCGGCCAGAATATGCTTTGGATCTGCTGCAGTATAGAAGCTGAGGCCGAATAGGTCATCTAAAGTGATCAGTTCTTCGATGTAAAACTTCATTTTGCGCGCATCATGAGGACAATAAGCTAATTTCATTCCATATGGCTTCAGGGCAGCTGACCAGGAAACAGGATCTTGCGTATTTATGTTGCCTTGAAAGTCTTTGGGTTTCTTACCGGTGAGCATGGCCAGACAAGTGGACACACAGGCGGGACCTTTTTGAAGGAGTGGTTGGATGACAAGGTCACGAAAGTAGTGTTCCTTATCTTCTGCTGGCCAGACAGGCGTATTTGGGTTACTCCTAAATGTTGACATTGCTGGGGGTGGCAAATTTATCTAAAATATATGTCTTTCTTCGTGATAAACCGAGAAAATAGCTTAGTATGGATGTGGTATATAGTTGTGGGTGTAGGTTGACGTTGATGTCAGTTGTGAATGGGTAAATTCTATTCTCCCAACTACACCCATACTCGCAACCGATTGTTTGATTTTTTCAACTTACATCTGCTGACTCCACAACACTAAGATGTTGAAGGAATGATTTCTCCTCATTCTGTGGCGTATTTCGAAATAAAGCGATGTCAACAGATTGAATAAGATCTTCAAATTCAGTAATACGTTCTTCGAGGAGATCCGTACTGACCTAAATATTATTTATTAATATTGCTAAAAAAAACTTAATCAATAGAGAATATTTACTTTATTTTCAATGACACAAGCAATTTTTAATATTCTGATTCCGTAAGCAATTGGCACGAAACAAGCTATAACAATAGTTTTATTTAAAATATCTCGATAGAAATTGAATACCTACAGGTACCCCAAATAAGTCCATCTAATTCAATTGAACGAACATTTTTTTCAAGTTCTTCCATATTTGTTTCATCATCCCACGGTTTAACCTAATTAAAAAAATTACTAAAATTCTATTCAATTGTTTAATACATACATCAAGAATAATTCCACTTTTTGCAATAGGAGCTGGTTCTAAAAGCAAATCTTTTTTAAAATTTTCTTTTTTCTTCTTTCTTTTTTTTTACTTTTAGCATTTTCCTCGATATGAGCCTTTACACGTTGTTTTCTAATTTCACTTTCTTCTTCATTATCATTATTACTAAATAAATCAAAATCGTCATCTGGATTAACAGAAGATAATTTCGATTCATGTTTTTCTTGATTATCTTGTCGTTTATAATATTCAAGCGATTGACGTTGACCTTGGAATCTTAAGAAAATTTTAATGTAACGATTGCATAAATAAATAAATAAATTTACTTTTGTCTTTCAGCATCATCAAATGAAGAAATATGATTATACCATCGAAGAGCATTTTCAAGATCAGCCGATGGAACTTTTTTTACAGCTTCAAATACAACAACATCACCTTGGCTTGGACAATATCTATTAATAAAAATAAAAATAACATTTTATTTTCAAGAAGAAAATCAAACAAACCCTTCGATATATGATTTATCAGCAAGGAAATTATTGAGTAAAACAAGTCCATCGTCAGATTGAAGATCACCAAAGTTCATTTTATTTTTGAAAAATAATAAATAAAAAAGAAAAAAACTCTAAAAAGAAAAAAAATACAAGAAATTTCTTCCATTTATTCGTTCTTATAAATTAATGTACAAGAAATCATAGTTTATATATGCAGTTGTCGATGATTGTGTTCGTGTGGATGTTATGGCTACCATACCGACGTCTACATCCACACATTTACCCTCAGATGCTACTGTCAGTAAACAGAATAATGCATAATATTTTGCAAAGTGGGAAAAATAAATATGCTGTTTTATAATCGATAGGAAAGAAAAACAGTCACTGCATCATAATTTCATCATGCATGTTCGTATAGAATGAGCGAACGAAATTATCGAGAAGAAATAATTCAAACAACAATCATACAAAATATTTCGTTCTTTCATAAGAGAATTCACCACGTATATATTTAGAATTATTGTAAAACTATATAAGATTAATATAATGAATATTATCAAAGTGTACAAAATATTACCAACATAAACATTATAATATTAATCTAAATAAAAATATAATTATAATTAGAATAGTTGAAGTTTCTTTTAAATCATTACACTATTCTTTTAGGGACTATTGTATCAAAAAAAACTAATTTTGAATTTCGAAAACTCATCTAAGACGTTCGTCTACAAGTATTTCTTTTCTATACATTTCTTCTTTTTCAAAATAAATTTAATAGTTGATTAAATATACCAAATTCGAATAGTGCATATTTTTGATTCATAATTTATTTATTCACTATTTGCATGTACGCGTAATAGTGCTTCTCTTAAGTATTTTATTTTTTCTTCAATTTATATTCCGCGAAAAACGTATTTGTTGATACACATAATTCTTGAAATACGAAAAAGAATCGTATTCCTGATTGATATAATGAACAGAGCGTGAATGTGTTTGCCTTTTCTTCGCTCATATCCACATTACCTTATCAATAAACAAATCAATTAATAAAATCGGTGATTAAACAGTAATAGATACGCCTAGTTTATCACGGAATTTTAAGATATATTTTCTCGTGTTTTAATCGTTTACAATCTTTTCGATTTGTTGGTGAAATATTGTCTAGATCATTCGAAGTGATATTAATTGAACCAAATAATTCATCAGAATTTTTTTATTTAATAACAGATGAACAGAGAACGTCTTAACAAGAAATATATATTGAAAATACATGAAAAAAGGAAAATCTAAATCAATTTTTATTGATTGATCATCAACACTTTTAATTGTTCCATTAAAGCTGATTTTCTATATACTAAATCGTTATAAATCTGTTTCTGTGCGAAATTCATATTGTGTGTCATGTGACCAGGTGCATTTTCGATCATATTTTCTATCTGAAAGGTAATTTTTATGATTTAAAAAGCTAAATCGTGCTTCTGAAATAAATAAAAATAGATCATTGAGACTAAGTAAAAACTTTTAATTGGGAAAAAAAATTGAACTTAGTTCTGCACATTATATGTTATTGCCATAGGTTGACCAATATAAAGCAAAGAAAAACAAATGTTAGTCAGAATGAATAAATAAATACAATCCTTCTTCGAATGCTTTTTTCGCACATTTTATATATATATATGTTCATCTTAATAATGTTCGTCAAATGTGAAGAGTGAAAAGTGAAAAGGACTGAATGTATTCATTACAAAAGAAAGATAAATTAAAGGTCAAATGCCACGCGTCGATATGGCGTGTATTCTTTTTTTTCTATTATCTGTCTAATAGAATATAGATTCAATAATGTGTAAGCAAAAATAACTTATTATCAAATGATTTATTCTTATTTAAAATGAGAAATATGTCTCTAATCATTCTTTTCAACAACTGACTTGAATGAATTCTAATTGATAGGGTGTGGGTGTATGTAAAATAAGTTTTCACTTTTCCTTTTGTTTCTATTTCTCAATTTTTTTCTTCAATAAAATATTTCATTCACACAATTATTTCAAATTTTTGAACTCGATCATTTCCATCATCAACAACATAAAGATTTTCTTCATCATCAAAAAATAAACCACTGGCACCATTCAATTGATTTGATTGATCTCCTTCACCATTTCCACCAACAACAATTTCACCTTTTTCTTTTCCTTCACGCCAACGCATCACTCGGTTATGATCAAAATCTACCACATAGATTTGACCCAAATCATCAACAATCAATCCTGCAGGTAAAGACAATTGATTCAGATTTCCTCCAGCCACAATTGTTCCTTCTTTGGCACCTTTTCTCCATTTCATCACACGACGATTGTCTCTATCTGTTACATAAACAGATTGTTCTTCATCAACAAAAATAAAAGTAGGATAATGGAGTTGATTCAGTTGATCTCCTTTTCCATGTCCGCCTGCCACTACAACTCCTTCATTGTTGTATTCGCCCATTTTCCATCGTCTTACTTCATTGTTCATATAATCATTAACATAAAGAAATCCATGTTTATCGATTGCCAAACGAGAACAGTCAATATTATGAATGAGAATTTTTTGCTTTTCATTCATCCATTGAATCACTCGTCTGTTATCACGATCAGCAATGATGATGGAATGATTTTGTCGATCAATAATCACATCTGTTGGTCGATCCAATTGATCTATGCGATCTCCTTTGCCATTACCACCGGCAATGATTTGTCCTTGTTTTGCATCATGTTTCCATTCTACAATACGATGATTATGGACATCAGCAATGAAAATATTTTTCTTTTGATCAATAAAAATTGCAGAAGGCCCATTGAATTGATTTAATTTTTGTCCTTTTCCATTTCCGCCAGCCACGGTGATGGCATGTTGTTTCCATTTATGACCGATCTTATCTAAAACAGATGAAATTTATAGTTCCAAAGTATCGTGCGAGTGTAGATAAGAATGCTGCATCTATCGTCCACCGATTCACTCACTTACTATCTGTCGAACATGGACCATCTTCAGATGTATTCTCACATATTTCAGATTTGATTTGAACTATGAAAGTAATAAACTAATACATATAAACATATAAAATAGAATATAAATCAAACCTGTTATGCTAAAATATGAAATCAATGGATGTTAACAAAATTAGTGATAAGAATCAATAATTATTTACCTGAGAATAATGAAAACGATGTAGCAGTAGACATTAATTGTATTCATAGTTGGTTTTAAAATAAGAGGATATAATGAAAAAATATGTGTTTTTATATCTAAAACATAGATAATATCTTAAGTCAATATAATTGAAATATAACAGATGCATTTATTCACATATCGATAGTTGGAAATTTCATATCTACTTCCTTCCTTCTAATCTTTTTGATTCTATCCTAGAACAAATACAATAAAAATGTGATTTAAAAATGCATAGATCATCATGTGATAAAGTAAAGATTCAACTGATATTACTATATTTTTCGAAGAGTGAAATATTTATCAATAACACTGAAAGTAGGTTGTTTTAAGCGCCGCATTTATCAGCTATAAAATTTTGTTCTCTTTACTAAGATGAAAGTGATGTTTGTGGAGAATAGTTATTTTTCGCATTGCGAAGAACTATTGTATTTAAATGTAATTCTCAATGGAGAGAATTATTTCCAATTCTGTGTGAGTATCATGTCCTTTTCAATTATATCCAAGCAAAAAGCCTTTGTCATATGCTATTCGTAATATCGAGCATGCTGTTAATGAAAGATCAGTTATGAGCTAACCGACACTTGTACGTCATTTAGCTCAGGTAGGAAAACTGTTTGATGAAGTAGTCGCTGTAATTGTGTTTATCTTGTTGAGTATAGTTTCGAATATGAATATCGATTATTTTCAATGTGAAGTTGAACAGCAAGATACTGATGTTCAAACGCAAGTGTGTGTGTTGGTATGCTCTCAATCAGCTATCCAAACCCACACACACCCTCAAATTTACAATTTATTTTTTGTCTGTCTCAGTAAATATCGAAGGTAATCAGTTCGCACAATTGTTGATTGTCGATATCAATCTAAAATATCATAATAACTTTAGATTAAGATCTTTCGAATAAAGTTCAACAATTCTCTTGCTTTGCGTTTACTCTTCACCATATTTTATGAATCTATTTTCAAATATGACTCTTTCAAATCACATAAATGTTTTTATTTTATTTTATTTTTGAGAATAAAAGATATTTTTTCATAGTTGAACGTATTATTGATAGACTAATTCGCAAATATTCAAAAAAATACATTTTTCAATTGATTAAATCTCTATCAATTTTAAATAATTATAAATTAATAATAAAGAACTTTTCTTATTTATTACAATATTTTAATAAAATTTTTTTATTCAAGGATCAAAACAAAGAAAATCTTTATTTGAAAAAGTTCAATATAATAGAATAAAGGAATTATAAAATATTCATTTTAATTTATTTGGAAAATAAAATAAATCTCGTTCATTTTGCTTTCGAAATTCTTTGTTTTTCTGTTTTCATTTAAATGAAAATGTTCACTGACTTATTCTGAAATTTCAAATCGAACTTCTTTTCATTGATTTCATTTGAACAAACCATTTTCCAATTCCATGTTTATTAATTTATTAAAGAAAAATCATTTCAACAGTTGTTTTGTTCAACAAAAATTAATTTTAATTCGATTTTCATTACCAAGTTTTCATAAAAGATTTATTTTTTCTTCAATTTTGAACAATTCTCAGATTTTATCAAATTAAAAAAACAGAAATATTCAAATAGAATTTAATCAAACATAAAACATTTTTTTATATAATTTTTATGTCAATTCAATTCAAACTACAAAAATATTTTCTTTCCTTTTCCTTTCTCCTGTAAAATTGAATAAAAATTAACAGGAGATGAGGAATTTAACATTTATTTATTCTACTTCCATAATCAAAACTATCAAATCAAATTCAATTTTCCAGAAAAAAATCAAAAATACTGTTCTTTGTTTTTTTATCAAAAAATTCCTTTTTCTTCAATATTTATTAGATTTTTTTATTGATTTTCCACAATAAAACTACGCTTTTTCTTTTCTTTTTATTTTCGATGTTTTATTCAATAAAAAAATTTCTTTTCGTTTATACCAAGTCAAAATTTTATTTACAAAATTATTTCAAATTTTGCAATTCGATGATTCCAACGATCAGCAACATAAAGAATTCCTTCATCATCAAATGATAAACCAGCGGGACCATTGAATTGATTTGATTGATTTCCTTGACCATTTCCACCAACAACAACTTCACCTTCTTCTTTTTCTTCACACCAACGCATTACTCGATGATTTTTCAAAATCTGCCACATAGATTTGACCCAAATCATCAACAATTACTCCTCGAGGATGAGACAATTGATTGAGATTTTCTCCTTGCCCATTTCCTCCAGCCACAATTCTTCCTTCTAGTGCACCTTTTCTCCATTTCATCACACGATTATTGTAGGCATCTGATACATAAACAGATTGTTCTCCATCGACAAAAATAAAACCTGGGTGATTTAGTTGATTGAGTTCACTACCTTCACCATTTCCACCTGCCACTACAATTCCTTCATTGTTATATTCACCCATTTTCCATCGTCTTACTTCATTCTTCTTGCAGTCGGAAACATAAAGAAATCCATATTTATCTATTGCCAAACGAGAACAATCAATATTGTGAATGAGAATTAGTTGTTGCTTTTGATTCAACCATTCGATCACTCGTCTGTTCCCATGATCAGCAATGATGATCGAATGGCTTAGTTGATCAACAATCACATCTGTTGGTCGATTCAATTGATGTATTCGATTTCCTTGCCCATTTCCACCTGCAATGATTTGTCCTTCCTTTGCATCACATTTCCACTCAACAATACGATGATTGTAAGAATCAGCGATGAAAATATTTTTGTTTTGATCAATAAAAATTGCAACAGGCTGATTGAGTTCATTCAATTTCTGCTCTTGTCCATTTCCGCCAGCCACAGTGATGGCATTTTGTTTCAATTTGTCCCATTTTGGTTCTAGAAAATGATGGAAACAAAAGGTCTTGAAGACGAGAAAAACAGTTGTTTTTCATAAAAGAAAAGAGAAAAATAAATGTGTAGTGAAAAGACAAATTTTGTTTTGTTTCTTTGTTGGATTTTGAGAATAATTTTATTGAACAAATTACATGGATTATTGGAAGTTTTTCGTTTAGAAAATAAAATGAAATACTGTTGAGATTAATTTTATCATCTTCGTCATCACTTTTCTTTGTTGTTACCGTTTTTTAGCATAAAGTTATAGAAAATGAGAATTATTCTTCTAGAAATTATTTCTTAAGAACTTACTTATTGATGAAATAATAGAAATATCATTAATAAACGGATGTGAGTTTTGTTGAATAGAAGTTTTTGGTGAATTATTTAATTGTTCTCTAATTTTTCTTAGTTGATTTGATAAATAATTCAAATTAATTTCATTAAAGTCATTTTCTTTCTGAATTTGTTGTATTTGTTCACTTAAATCATTAAATTTCATTTCAATACCATCAATAAATGTGTGTGATGATTTAAGAACAATTTCTCTACAATCGTTTGCTTTTTGTTTAATTTTGCCAATTAGATTCATTTCCCATTGATCAATTTGTTTTATTAGTGAACGATTTTGTGGATTTTGTTTTTGTTCATTCATTGATAGTTTAAATTCACCATAATCATTAATAATATGATTTAATTCATCATTTAATATTTGTTTATGTTTTGCTAAATCCATAAAACAAAATTCTTTTAAACATCCTTTACAAGGATATGTTATTTTCTCTTCATTACAGATAAAACATGGTGTTTTGTTATTTGCTATTACCATGCTATTGAATATAAATTTAATAACTGAAGGACAATAGGAATATTGTTGGCTAATAGAAGAAATCGAAAAAGAAGTTATCTTGTGTCAATAATTACTAATCGTTGGAAAATTCTACTGATGAAACTGATGTTATGTCTAAGATGACTGGATAAAAGTTAGAAATCGATTTTATTTTAATTTAAAATAGAAATTCAAACGATTAAACTTAAATATGATATTTTTTCTTCCTTTTTCCTCTTGGAAATAACCTTCACAAGTGATTAATCTTTATTTCATCATTATTTGTGTATATGTAAAGTAACTTCATATGATGTATCTGTTTTCTTCCGACTCTTGGCAAAATTTCGATAAGGAAAGGTCAAGAAAGAAAAGGAATATACCAACATTGAATCATTATTTTTTGTTTCATTCATATGTGCTTGTGTTTTCGAAATACATGTTCGTAATACGACCAAAAAAACAGTTAGTTAAGTTGGAATATTCTACATGAGAATAAATTAAAAGATAAGATCGAAGGAAAAAACCAACAAAAGATTAAGTCATATGACAGAAATCTTCTTGATTTTTTTAGTTCTTGAAATGTTTTGATCAATCATGAACATGAGTGAAGATAAATCCAATCAAACTTCATCTCAGATAGTGAATATACCAGAAACTTTTGATCTAGAGAATAACATTGAATCTAAAATAATTGCGAGCAGTTTTTTAGTTTAAGGAAGACAAGCTTTATACAGTTTGAAAGTGGCGTATCACTAAATGCAGACAACTGTACTGCTAATAGTGATTTTAACCATTTATTCATGAACAAAAGGTAATATCACCAAAGATTTATAACCAACTCTTGACATGTGCTGAAAAAAATGAAGTGAAATTCCTCCAAGAGAATATCTACCTATCATTAGCAATTCCACTTGTTTTCGATTTTTAGAAATCGATCTAAATTATATCTAGCTCTGCAGAATTATTTTTGTTCATTATTGATTAATTTATTTAAACAATAAAGATCTGAATATTAGTCAATCAGATTTAATTGAACACGCTTTGAACTGTTTGAGGGTGTGGGTGGGTGGGTGAGTGTAGGTGTTGTTCTTATTGTCACATTCGCACCCACACCCTTTTTTTGAAAATTCTTTTTTTTATCTGTATGGAGGGAAAACTTTAAAAAAAGTCATCTTCCCATTTTACCTTAAAACAACATCTTAGCAACATCCCAAGGCGATACTTCGAATCAGCGCGTAAAATTGCATCGAACGATGTACAATACTATGCGCTTTCTAACAAAATTGTTTCTTGAAAGTTTTGGCTGAGGTTCCCCACAGGCATTTTTGGAGAAAAGAATTGTTCTTTTTCAAGCATGGCTTATTTCATGAACATAAAGACCTTAAATTTAATATTTTGGATATTGGTAGTCAAAGTAAAATTCGTATAATATGGAATCATTATTTCCAAGATACTAAAGCTCTTATTTATGTTATTGATAGTGATGATCGTGCTCGTATAGATGAAGCATGTGAAGCATTTCAAAAAACACTTTTAAACGATGAACTTAAAGGAATACCATCACTTATTCCTGCTAATCTTGAGGGTCTTGATTGGTTAGCAAATCAACTAAAAGATGTTCGATAAACAAAGATTTGAATGTGACTTACTGAATAACTATCACTACTGAAATCTTATTCTACAAATTTTAATCTCATTTGTATATGCTTTTATATGAAAGAGAAATAAATAGGATTGCGTTCAAGTCAATGCCATTTTATTTCAAATCCACGATAGATAATAAGTCACAAGTACATGCACAGTTAGACTTCTTGTTTGAACATAATATTTATCATAACTCACAATTCTATTAAGAAATCTTTGAATACAGAAAAAACTAGTCAGTATTAGAGTATATGAATAATATTTAACATTATCCATCGGATTCATACATTAGAGGATCACATAAATCTCCTTGACATGCAGGACTAATTGTCGTATATCTTCCACCACATAGTTGTTTTTCTCTGTCAAAATTTTTTGTAATATAATTTTTACACTGATTACCCACTGTATATAATCAGATCTGTTTGAAAACAGGACTTCCATTATCAGAGTAAGTTGTTTTTTCCCAATCAGCTAATAAAGAACAAAATATTTCTTCTATTGGATTTTCATATGTCATAAAAAGGCAAATTTCAATACTAATAAATTCATACTGTTCGATTAACAGTTTTATTGATAACATCCGAAATCCGAACAAGTTTTGATAAGCGTATCAAACTTATATCATTTTTTAGAATACTATTATAATTACATTATTCATGTATTATTATACAATATTTATTAATCATAGACACAAACAACATTTATTCTTACAACACAGAATTAATATTTGTCATATAAATAGAATTTATATCTAACGAGTGTTAAATATTTTTATCCATGAAAATATTTTCTTCACTTCTGCTCGAAATGTTTTCGATACAATTAAATTAGTATAACAACCAGTACAAAATGGAATTGCACTAGTAAATATAAGTATATTCTAAATCATGTTTTGTAATTGTAATCTTTCAGTACTTTTTATTTCATTTAGTGTAATTTGTAGATATATAAGATAAAATGCAAATGGGCCAACACATACAGCATAAATAGTAGTTTCCATAAGTAGCATTAGAATCCATTGTCGATCTTTTCTAGAAAAAGAATTTGAACCATGTATTTAATTAACTCTGGTAGCTGAAACACTAACAGTAGGAACTTGGATTAGACCTAGATTTCGAATATTTTTTATATATGATATTCCAAATATTAACATCAATGAAATTACTATAATTTCTTCAATGATATTGTAATAAGTTGTGAATGTATTATGTGTACCTCGCTGAGGTGCACACACCTTAGAGTTTGGTCCAACTTGTACAATATTTGTAAAAATCAATGCATGAATATGAAATAATATCCAAAATAATGTACCAATTCCAATACATATATAAGCAAGTCGACAAGTACTTCGTTGCCGAGTAAGAGCATTTGATGAAGTAATAAAAGTACGATCAATAGATGCTAAAACTAAATAGTATGAACTTAATGCATTGAGTACAAATATCGCATGAAATATAAACGACAATTAACTATGCTGCTTGTAGTATAATCAATATTATATCCACTACTCATTGTTTGAGGTAATAATGAAAAATAAATATACATAAAATTGACAATATTGTATGCAATAAAATAGATTGAACATGGATTTTTACGTAGATTCTTTTGACTAAAAACTATTATATTGATAATAGAACCAGCCGTACCGAAGATCATTAAAGTTGGAGAAATAATTTCATATAAATATGTGCTCACTGAAGACATTTTATGGTGAAAATAAAATAGTTGTTAGACCTTTTCAAATGATGATAATATTGTGAATGACATAGCATTCATGATTAGATTATGAATAAAACAGGAAAAAAAACCTAAAGGCTTAATATCTGATGCTGATAGGAAAGACATAGAATGACAACTTTTATTCCTTTTAATTAATTAGTTGTTCCTCGAGGTATTACTAAAAAACGTCAACTGACACACATAATAGGTAAAAAGAATTTTAAATGTCAAAAACAGAAAGAAAGTGTTCTAGCTGTAATACTAAATAGATTACATATTTTGAAAATGTTTCAAAATTTAATCATTGATATAGAATATGTTTATTCTCTTTCTCGTAGAGAAGAGTCCAGCAGAAATAAATTGTTTGCTTGCTTGCTTGATAGATTGTGTGTCCACAGGGTCAAAAAACATCGAAAATCAATTTTTCACGATTTTCATTCGTGTTTTCAGTAAATGTGAAGAAGATGCATTTCTGCGAGAAAGAGCGTTACTTGTATATTTTATACCAGTAGATTATGAAGATCTTTTTTCAAATAAGTTTTGCTGTAGCTTGGTCAAAAAAACATACATATATAACAATATATTCTTGATGTCAAATGCAATTTTATCTAATTAATGTTTCTGTTTTTGAAAGCCGAAAGGGATCACGTCAATCTAGATCTTTTAATGAATTTCTTTAAAGCAACATTTCTATAGTGAAGGCTGAGCTTTTATTAAATCTTCACTCTTTAATGTCACAGTTTTTTTGAGAAGAAAATTTGAGGGTGTGGGTGTGGGTGTGATTGCTGGTGTTATTCTTATGTCG